CATCAAAAACTCTCAAACAGGTGTAGAAATCTGTCCCCCCTCAACAGCTCTTTTAGCCCCTGTGTTCGTTCTAAACAGGTTATAACCATTCATTTTAACATGCCAGTCTTGCAAATTGTCCCACCAGGCTTTAGTAATTATAGAATCGTAGGACTGGAAGGGACCTCGAGAGGTCATCTAGTCCAGTCCGCTGCACTCAAGGCAGGACTAAGTATTCGAGACCATCCCTGACAAGTGTTTGTCTAACCTGCTCTTAAAAATCCCCAATGATGGAGATTCCACAATCTCCCTAGGAAATTTATTCCAGTGCTTAACCACCCTGACAGGAAGTTTTTCCCAAAGTCCAACCTAAACCTCCGTTGCTGCGATTTAAGCCCATTGCTTCTTGTCAGAGGTTATGGAGACCAACCTTTCTCCCTCCTTCTTGTAGCAGCCTTTTATGTACTTGAAAACTGTAATGCCAGTTGTATCAAATTCCTTCTCATCAGTCAGAACTTCCAATTCTGTCTGCTTGTTACCCAGATTCCTACATTGGTATAGAAGCAATCGAAACATTCCTTCCCTTCCTTCTCTGTCACATTCATTCAAATTGTTTGTGAGACACTGAGTGTGAGTTTAAATCCCCTTTGCTTCCTTAACACCCTTCCCCTCCCCCTTTATTGTTAGTTTAATGCCCTCCTGGCTGCTCCAGCTAGTCTCCAACCGAGATTAGCCCCCCCACCACCTGCGAGATGCAGGCTGTCCTCTCCATACAGCCCCCTCTCCACTGGAACCTGAGGGGCAGCTGCCAACAAGCCCTTATAAACTCAGAATGGTCTTTCTTGTCTGCTGGTTGGCTGCTTGCTCCAGACCCCCTGCGCCCCCCTCCAATTTGTTCACTTCAGCTGCCCTCCATCCTCACCCTCGGCCTCTCCCTGCCCTTGCCTCCCCCAGTCCCCGACTTCCTCTCCTGCATCTTCCTTTGAGCTAATCAGTTCCTGTTTTCCCTTCCCTCCCACTTCTGTCCTGTTGTAGGCCAAATATGTATAATAATTAGGGCCCTACCAAATTCACGGCCATGAAAAACGCATCACAGACCGTGAAATCTGGTCTTTTGTGCACTTTTACCCTATACTATAGAGATTTCATGGGGGAGACCAGCACTTCTAAAATTGGGGGTCCTGACCTAAAAGGGAGTTGCAAGGGGGGGTGACAAGGTTATTTTAGAGGAGGTGTTGCGGTATTGCCAACCTTACTTCTGCGCTGCTGCTGGCGGCAGCGCTGCCTTCAGAGCTGGGCTCCCGGCCAGCAGCCGCCGCTCTCCGGCTCCCCAGCCCTGAAGGCAACACCGCCACTAGCAGCAGTGCAGAAGTAAGTGTCGCTGTTTTCCCCCCCCCCCCCCCCCCCCCCCCCGCACAACTCCTTTGTGGGTCAGGACCCCTACAATAACAACACTGTGAAATTTCAGAGTTAAATAGCTGAAATCATGAAATTTACAATTTTTAAAATCCTATGAGCCTGAAATTGACTAAAATGGGCCGTGAATTTGGTAGGGCCCTAATAATAATGTAAGAAAACCCTACCCCCAAATTACAGATCTAAACAAAAAGTACTGTGGAAGGTCCCTGACACTTTCATGGTTTGCTCTGCTTGTATGTGGAAGTAACTGGCTTGGTGGCAGCGCTGCTGAAAAGGAGCTGGGGGTTAGAGTGGGGCACAGTTTGAATATGGGTCAGCGATGTGATGGAGTTGTGACAAAGGCTAACAGCATTCTGGGGTGTATTAACAGGAGTGTCGTACGTAAGACACAGGAGGCCATTGTCCTGCTGCGCTCAGCAGTGGTGAGGCCTCAGCGGAAGTACTGTGTCCAGTTCTGGGCACCTCACTTCAGGAGAGAGGTGCAAAACCCCTACAAACCCCTGTCAGGGATGGTCTAGCTTTATTTGGTCCTGCCTCAGTACAGGGGGCTGGACTTGATGACTTCCCGAGGTTGCGTCCAGCCCCGCATTGCTCCGATTCTGTTATTGTGTGTTATGGCTCCTTTCCCCGCTCGGATTTGTCTTGCCCACTTACTCTGTCAGCTCTTTGGGCCCGGGACTGTTCCTTAGTCTGTGTGTGCGAAGCACCCAGGGCAGTGGGGCGCTGAGTTTGCCTGGGGCCTCTGGGCACTACCGAAATGCACGTATTAGATAATAAAAGCATGTCTGAGTGGAGGCTGGACTCAGGCCTGGCTTCCCTGTTAATATCCCAGGATAGCATATGCACCATCCGAATGAGCCATGAGAGAGCTCGGATAGTGTCTGTCAGCCTAGTGAGCCCCGAGAAAGCAAAGGGGGCCTCCTGTTCCCTTCTGGGACCTTGACGTTACACCCATGTGAGGTGCGGTGATCAGATGACAGCTGGGCTGCCCTCAGGTGTGACCCTCCTGCCGGGCTGAGTGTGGGGCGGCAGGTGTCAGGAGGTGGGAGCAGCAGCAGGGGCTGAGCGTGAAATGCTTGTGATTGCAGGGCCGGGTGACGTTTGAGGAGGTGGCCGTCTGGTTTTCCCGGGAGGAGTGGGAGATGCTGGCAGACTGGCAGAAGGAGCTGTACCGGGCCGTGATGCTGGAGAACTATGAGAATCTATTTCTTCTAGGTACTGTAACACGTGACTTGGGCTGGAGGATACAGGATTTTGGAGGCACGGTCACTGCTTCGTGTTCAGACACATTCAGAATCCCTTCAATAAGCATTTGAAATATCCTGGGATGGCCTGAAATAACCTGTGCCCTTTGTAACACTCACTCAGGTATTAGCCATGCAGCCGCCCTGCTTGCCAATACAGGAATCAGTTTGGCTGCCGGGAGCTGGCCAGTAGCCAGGAAAGAGAGAGAGCCCTAGCCCCAACCAAGCTAGCCTGGCTAGCGCTAACTTTGCTGCCGATTGGTTTGGTGACCTCCAAATATGCCGGAATCCACAGATGTGAGTGTCACAGATCCCAAGACTGGTTTTCCCCTCGCTGCACATTAACCCTTTGTAGAGGGCCCCGTCAGTAATCAGTGATGCACTTCCAACCCTGATGATTAGTTAGATTTTTGAAGCCATCTCTGCGGTACAAGAGTAGAAATTGATGTTTCCCTTCAGTGAAAGTTAAAACCAGATTGACATTTAGAGCCCTAAAATCAGGCAGACAAATGATCTCTGCAGGTGCCAGGGGCTGGCTCTGTCCACACCTAATGCAATTTTCTCTCTACATAAACAGGCCATGCAGATGCCAAACCTGAGATCATAACCAAACTTGAACGAGGAGAAGAGCTGTGTGTCGGGGACCAGCAGGCCTGGGAGGGGAGAGAAATTCTTCCAAGTGCTTCCAGGGGTGAGTATTCCCAACGACGGCTTAGACCCAGCTCTGCCAGCCTTGCCAGCTCAGCCTGGGACTTTCCCTGAGCGACGATATCAGGATTTGGGCTGTTGAAGTTAATGCAAGTTTTGCCTGAGTTGAGACAGATCAGAACCTGAGAAGTGAATTCAAAGTGCAGCCCATTATAAACTGGGAGTTTTCATCAAGATTAGTGAAGTAAAAGCAGCATTTTATAAATGAACCTCTGCCCCTTGTAGGACCTTGGTACCTAAACACCACGAAAATCGGCTGGGATAACAGTCTTTTCCTACTGCCAGCTAATGTGGTTCGTCTAGTACAGGGGTGGGCAAACTATGGCCTGCGGGCTGGATCTGGCCCCCGCAACTCCCATTGGCCGGGAACGGTGAACCTCGGCCAATGGGAGCTTCAGGTGAGGTACCCGCAGGTGAGGGCAGCGTGCGGAGCCCTCTGCCCCCCACCCCCGGGGCCACAGGGACATGGTGCCGGCCACTTCCGGGAACGGCGCGGGGCCAAGGCAGGCAGGAAGTCTGCCTTAGCCCAGCTGCGCGCCGCTGCCACCCTGGAGCCGCTCAAGGTAAGCCGCGCCGGGCCGGAGCCTGCACCCTGAACCCCTCTGGCACCCAACCCCCTATCCTGAGCCCCCTGCTGCACCCCGCACCCCTCCTGCACCCCAAACCCCTGCCCTGAGCCCCCTCGTACACTCCACACCCCTCCTGTGCCCCAACCCTTGCCCTGAGCCCCTTCCTGCACACTGCACCCCCTTCCACACCCCGCACTCCCTCCCGCACCCCAATCCCCTGCCCCAGCCCTACATTCATGGCCCTGCATGCAATTTCCCCACCCAGATGTGGCCCTTGGGCCAAAAAGTTTGCCCACCCCCAGTCTAGTAGCTCAGGTGGGAGAAGTTAGGCAGCAGTGCTAACAGCTCAGGGTTCAAACCTGACTGACGATGCATAAAAGAGAAGGTGGGGTTGCTGCAGTTGAACAGAATATCACTGGTTTTTTTCCCTGTTGCCATTTAAAAAATAACTAGGAAATTTCATTACAAAATCCATGTTAAAATCCCGTGATTTGGGTTGCAGAGTCAGACACTCCAAAGCTAGGAAATGCCAAATGTATGTTTCCCCATGCAACTTAAATTCAGTCCCTGGTATCATTAAGCTCTTTAATTACATGATCACATATTGGTTTTGCACAGGACCCTGGCCTCATTCAGCACACAGGATGGATGTACGAGGGGTTGAATTATGTTTGCGTGGGCATCTGTCAATCTGAATTTTCCAACATTCTGATGCTTGGCTTTGCCACCTAAATAACGTTCCTTTAATACAGTTGTTCTGCGTGGAATATGTATGAATTTTACCTTGAGAGTGTCTGTAACTTGACCTTTCACAGTGGTTAGACAGTTAATTCCCACCTCATCGTGATGCAGCTTTCTAATATGAAGCCAATCATCCGTGCGGAATTTCTCTGTAATTTTCCATCAGGGAATTGGTCCAGGAAGAAAACTAAAAGGGAGTCGGACCTGCAAGAATGTGGTGGAAACCCGGAAGCTCAAGGGACCTCATCAAAAACGTTCAAAGAGAAAGTTTTGTGCAAACAAACCAGAAGATCCAGCAAACTCACCAGCGACCCTGATCTCCAGAGCTGCAGCACAAAAGAGAAGCTGCTGAAATGTACCGAGTGTGGGAAAAGCTTCACCAGGAGGCAGAATCTGAGCACGCACAAGAGAATCCACACTGGAGAGAGACCTTACGAGTGCAGCGAATGTGGGAAGAGGTTCAGCCGCATGCAGCACCTCGTGTCGCACCAGCGAATCCACACAGGCGAGCGACCCTACCAGTGCACCGAGTGCGGGAAGCGCTTCAGCCAGAAGTCCAACCTCCTCACACACCAGACCATCCACACGGGGGAGAGGCCCTTTAAATGCACGGAGTGTGGGAAAAGGTTCAGCCAGAGAGTCTATCTGACCCAGCACCAGAAAACCCACACGGGAGAGAAGCCGCATAAATGCCTGGAGTGCGGGAAGAGTTTCATCCAGAGGAAGGTGCTCCTGACGCACCAGAAAAGTCATGCCGGGGAGGGAGGGCCATACCTATGTGCCGACTGTGGGAAATGCTTCACCACACGGCCAGGGCTGAGGTATCATCAGAGAATCCACACTGGGGAGCGGCCATACCCCTGTGCCCTGTGCGGGAAAGGTTTCGCCACCAATTCCCGCCTGAAATATCATCAGCGGATCCATTCGGGAGAGAGGCCTTATCAGTGCAGCGACTGCGACAAGCGCTTCCGGCACAAGTCGGCTCTGGCCTCCCACCAGGGCATCCACACCGGTGAGAGGCCTTACAAATGCACCGAGTGCGGGAGCAGCTTCCGCCGCCGGAACGGGCTTGTCAAGCACCAGAGGATCCACACAGGGGAGCGCCCCTACCCGTGTGCAGAGTGCGGGAAGAGCTTCAGCACGAGGAGCACGCTCACGGATCACCAGAGGACCCACACCGGGGAGAGACCCTACAACTGCAGCCACTGCGGGAAAAGCTTCAACCGGGTCTCGCAGCGCCGCAAACACCAGAGAATCCACACGAAAAAGCGACCGGAATGTGCCGAGTGTGGGAAAAGGTTCCGGAGTGAGAAGGAGCTCGCCACGCACCAGAGGGTCCACACCGGAGAGAAGCCATACCAGTGTCCCCAGTGCCAGAGGAGCTACCATCGGAAGAACGAACTGGCTAAGCACCTGAAAAGCCATGCGGGGAAGAAGCCGTAACCTCGTGCTTATGGAAGCTGGGCATGAACATGTACCAGCCCTCCGGGCCCGGCACTGCCCCATTCCAGGAGCGTCTCCAAGAGACGTATCTGTGAGTTAGGAATGTGGGGAGGGAGAGGGAGTGGTCTTGGGAGGGCAGGGTGTGGTCAGGGAAGTATCTCCCGACTGCTGCCCCTGTTCAGGGCCTGAGCCGGGATTCCAAGGTGCCGGCGGGGCTGGAACCCTCTGCTCTTAATACTGAGGGATCAAGCTGGTTCTGTATGATCCATCTAGCCTCTCTTTCACCAGACCCATAGAGCAAAGGAGTCTGGGAATTGTAGGCTCCAGGGAAGCCAGGACTGTAATAGGCCTATTGAGGAAGGGCTGGAGTATATAAGAATCTACCTTCCTTCAAATGCGAGAGAGACTCAGAGGGAGCCAGGAGGGGTCTCTGAGAAGAAGGGGCAGCTTATCTATTGTTTGGATTGGTTTGCTCATTTTACAGAGACTGAACTTTTGATTTACACACAAGTTTGCACCAATTTAGTTAAACTAGTACAAGCCCTGTGTGGACACTCTTACTTCAGTTTATTTGGGCTTAGATTAAATCTGTTCCTGATCAGTTTAAAATAAATGAAGTAAGCCTGGTTTAAAGAGAAAGAAAAGTGTTCACATGGGTTTTTGGCTCTTTTCATTAAAGAGGATCAATATCAGACCTGTTAAACTGGTGCAACTGAGCATGTAAACGTTTGGGATTTGAAATGACTGTGGGACATCCCCTACCTCGAGGTGGGGACTGTCCGAATTCCAGAGAGATCGGGGAATGAAAAGCCCTGACCTGCAGACTGGGGTAAGGGAAAAGGGTTTTGTTTTAAAGGAGGGCTGTGGCTTTAGCGGGGTGACTGGCCCCCTGTGGCTCTGCTCAAGTGAAGGTGGAGAACTCCGTTCTCTTTAAATGCTGCCTCTTCTAAGTGCGGTCACTCGGATTGCTTGGAAAGGTGCATATGGAAACAGGTGAGGAAAGTTTCCCTCCGAAGTCGAATCTTGCGCAGCCCCTGAAAATTCCCACGAGAAATGGCTGCTTTGTAATAAACATGCTCTGGTTCAACCACAAAATACAGGCTTGGTGCGGGGATTGCGGGTGAGGGGTTCTGGGTCTAGGCTGTGCAGGAGGCCAGACTAGATGATCACAACGGTCCCTTCTGGCCTTAAAATCCACGGCTAGACCTTTAGCCGTGTGGTTTGTGGAGAAGGAAGAGAACCCCGAGTCACTGTCTCTAGCCACAGTGCCAGGCCTTGCAGTGGGTGGGACAGGCAGCCTCCACCTGCCAAACCTCATATATCAGAGCTACCGAATCAAGGCCTAACACTGCGTTGGATGCAAAGGCAGAGTGTCGGGCTAGGGAGCTCCCCAGATTGCAGGTAGCCGCCGGGGATGCTGAACATCAGTAACCAATTGTGTCAGCAGCTGGAACAGAGAATGGGGAGGAAAAATCAAACCGCAGAGCACAACGGCGTTGGCAATTGCAGCTGTTGAGAACCTGCTCTCGGAACACGCTGTGTGCTAAGCAGTTGCGTGGAAAACAGCCAGGTCTGTAATATTCAACTGGCTGGGCTCCTAGGGGTGCTCTGGACTCTGGCTGTAAAACAAAATGTCCCAGAGCGAAACGGGAGAGCTAGAGAGACAAAGGGCTGCTTCCAGCAACAGCTCAGGTGAAATGAGATCAGACCACCGATGTGCATAAGAACGGCCCTACTGGGTCAGACTAAAGGTCCATCTAGCCCAGTATCCTGTCTACCGACAGTGGCCAATGTCAGGTGCTCCAGAGGAAATGAACAGAACAGGTAATCATCAAGTGATCCATCCCCTGTCGCACATTCCCAGTTTCTGGCAAACAGAGGCTAGGGACACCATCCCTGCCCAGCCTGGCTAATAGCCCTTGATGGATCCATCCTCCATGAACTTATCTAGTTCTTTGTTGAACCCTGCAGAGTGGGAGGGATTGTGTTGTTATTTTGTAGGGTACCATGTTGACTGGTAGAGATCACAGAGATGCTCGGGGCATCCATACCCACAAGCCCCTGAAGCCGCAGACACTTGGCCCTTCCTGTGTTGAGTGGTGTAACTTACCTATGGCTGTGGGGGCCGCTCCTCTGGGTTCTGAAGGGAGGCACTGGAGATGCGTACACTTGGCGCCTCTCTTCCCCAGCTGAGAAAAATCACCCCGACTCCCCCTAGTACCTGAACACCTGGCTGACCCCACCTCCCTGCACGGAGTCTCGCCATGCAAAGCCAATTCCTGGCCGGCCCAACAGAGCCACCTCCTGCTGGTTCCCAGCCGGAAGGCATGCCCAGGATCGAGCGGCAGGGCGGTGGTACAGGGCAAGGCGGGAGGGTGGAATCCTACTAGGGAGGGAGGTTTTGCTGAGTCTCCCACCCTCATTTCCCAGCAACCAGGAATCCTCCCCCTCCCTGCTCCAGCATGGCAGCCCCCGCCTCTGTCAACTCATCCACCATTTCCCTGGTGCCAGCCTCGTTTCCAAGGGTTACTGTGTGTTCCGCTGATCCGCTCAGTGGCTGCTCGTTAGATACAGCAATGCTCTGACTGATATCCAGGGATCTCACAATGAAGGGGAGCCAGGTGCGGGTATAAACCTCGCCTGGAAGAGGCAGTTCCTGTGTCCCTCTGTGCCTGGGCAAGGCAGTTCCCTTCTCGCTCTGTTTCCCCTCTGAAATAGGGACTCTCATGCTGACTTACCACAGAGGTTTCGGTGGGGGATAACGTTTGTCCGATGCCTGGGAAGAGCTCTGACAACGAAACAAGTGCAGCTGTTCTAACTGGAGGCGAGAGGACGAACATGAACTCGGACCAGGCAGCTGTCGAGGCACTAAATATTTCCTGCTATTAAGCGTCTCTCGCTTTCTTTGCTGGGCGTTTGGTTTTGTTCCAGCACGAGGCTGTAGCCTGACGTTGCAGAGTGGAAAGCCTCCAACTGCATTTCCCTTTGAGGATCAAAAGGTGCCTATAGTTGGCAGGTCAAAATCAGCTGCTGCCGCCCTCCGAAAGCACCTGCCAGACAGCTAAGAATTGCAGAGCTGTGTGGCTGGAACGCTGGTCTCCCCAATAGCAGCTGGTCCAATCGAAGACATCACCTCCCCCACCTTGTCTCTCTAGTCTCCTGGGACCGACACGGCTACAGCAACACTGCCAGCGAGGCAGTTCTGTCCTATATACGGGGCAGTGCTGAGGGGGGGCTGCGGGGGCTATTGCCACCCCAACATTTGCCTTAGCCACCCCTCCCAGAGCTGGGCGCCCGGCCAGCAGCTCCCGCCGCCAGGGCAGCCTCCCCTTCTATGGGAAGCTGATCCGTGGCTGGTGTGGCACGGGGGGAGCTTGCCCGATGCTAGAGGTGGGTGTGCCCAAGTGGGTCTCCGCTGAGCAGGGGGTCGGGCGGGGGCAGGGCGCCTCTGGCTCAGGAGTGGGGGCTGCAGCTGCTTCTGTACTGAACAAGCATTCAGGCTCCTGAGGGCTTGATTTAAAGAGACAGCGCGCTGACACACTCAGGCACAGTGGCGTCGCCAGGTTCTAAGAGCAGGGGGAGCAAACATTAAAAAGGCACCGCCCCTTGGCTCCTCCTCTGGCCACGCCCCCTTGGCTCCTCCTCCGGCCGCTCCGCCCCCCCCCTTAGCTGGCTCCTCCAGCCATGCCGTGCCGCCCCCACGGTCCCCCCCCCATGGCTCCTCCGGCCGTGCCGCCCCCTCCCCATGGCTCCTCCAGCTATGCTGCCCCCCTTGCCTGCAGGAGCCCAGCACCGGCCCGGCAGGCCAAGCTTCAGAGCGGTGCCACCCCCCACCCCATGGCTCCTCCGGCCGTGCTGCGGCCATGCTGTGCCCCCCCTTCAAGCCTGGGGTGCGGCAGGGAACAGAGGGGGTTACAGCCTGGATCGGGGTTACAGGGCCCGGCTCTGCTCAGGGGTTCTGACCCCTCACGGCTGGCCGGGAACGCAGCTCCGAGCCCCTTGGGCAGTAGGGCAGTTTGGGGGAGTCTCTGCGCTCCAGGCTGAGCGCCAGCCGCCCTGAACTCATCCCCCGCTTGCTCGGCTCAGGCCCGGCGGCAAAGAGCCAGAGGCTCCTGCCTAGGCTGACATCCCCGCATGCCTCTGTTCTTCCCTGGGGCCCGCCCGCTTCCCCTCACGCACCCCGGAGCAGCGAGAGCCACCAGCTCCATTCGCCTGTCTCCTTCCCCTTCCTCGCCCGAGGCCACCCTCGCTCCTCCGGCCGCGCTGCCCCCCCCATGGCTCCTCCGGCCACGCTGTGGGCTGCCATGCTGTGCCCCCCCCTCGCTCCTCCGGCCGCGCCGCCTCCCCATGGCTCCTCCAGCCGTGCCGTGCCGCCCCTGCCGCCCCCCCCAATGGCTCCTCCGGCCGTGCCGTCCCCTCCCCATGGCTCCTCCAGCTATGCTGCCCCCCCTTGCCTGCAGGAGCCCAGTGCCGGCCCGGCAAGCCAAGCTTCAGAGCGGAGCGTGGGCCCCACCTGCTGGCGCCATGGTAACCCCTAACTAAGGTGCCGCTTTTGGAAAATGTACTGAGGGGAAGCGGCTGCTTCCCCTGCACCCCCCTAGCTACGCTACTGCTCAGGCACACAGTCCCCACACACACTCCGCCCCACACACACATTCTCTCTCTCTCTCACACACACACTCTCTCCCTCCCTCCCTGCAATACGCACAGTTTCTCTCGCCCTCACACCCTTGTATTATTGTTGTTACTTCTTGGTACTTCCTGTCGAAATGCGCAAGACACATATATTCTCTGTCCTTTTATCTTTCAGAGTTCGTTAAGGATCACAGTGCTGTTATTTGAGTTTTTGGACTGCTCTGTGCATTTCATAATTTTATTTCTCTCTTATGCTTAAATTGAATTCTTTGAGTAGTGAGTGCTAAACTGCCTAACCTGTCCTGGCTGGAGTAATTATCATTGTTACATATTGTGCTTTGTCATTTATTATTTAAAGTGGTACAGTCAAATAATAATAGTATGTGTCTAGAATGTACATTTAGCTTGTACTCACCTTAGCAGTGCCGGTTTAAAAAAAAGAAAAAGCTAAACACATAACTTTAGACACTGTGCAGATGAAGGTCGCTTATTTTCAAATTGTATTTTTAATTATACCTGTAAAATAATTTAATACAGATGAAAATAAATGCGGTACCATGTCTGCCACTAATAGTAATGACGGAGTCAAATGTTAGTGAGTCATGTACATGATTGAGATCAGTAAACATAAATGCTGAATTAATCAGAAAAATAAATTCCTGTTAATAAAAGAGAAAAAAACTTAACCACATGTTAAAATTAAGTAAATATGTTTATAGTGGAGTGAGAAACAACCAACTAAAATAGAGGAGATAATGGCAGTAACACAGAGTGTCTGTTAGAGAAAGTAAGCAGATTTTAAGCAGATTTTATTTATTTTTATTTATCTCTACTATCGATAGTGTACAAAGTATCAAACGTGTGTTTCTGAGATCTGTGTTAAGGCTCCAAAACTGACACCTTGAGGTTTGGGATTGGGAATATCGTGCTGTATTATCTCCTGATTGTTCTAAACTTACATATAAACTTAAAATGTGGCTTTAATTGGTGTTTGTATTTTTTTTCTTTCTTTATATAAAAATTAGATGCAGGACTCCTGTCAGCTAATTTCTAAGTATGATCTGCAAAGAAACTAGAGTTTTCAGGTGTCTAAGTAGCCCTTGGAATCATGGATAAAGTTGTGAGGCCCCCTCCCTCCCCCCATCTGAAATGGGCCCCTGTGAGGAGGGCCATGCAGGATTGTGGAATTTAGGAAAAAAGATACAAAAATTATGGGATATGTATGAAATTATGGGATGGTGAATGCTGCATTATGGGAAGCTGATCCCATGCTCCCAGTCACCTGTGCGACCCGTTTGGGCCCCAGCATGTGTTCCCAAAATACAGTGCAGTGGACAGTGACGAGTTGTACAGTGGGATACATACCCATCATGCACCGCACTCTGAATCAAAACAAGCGCTCCTGGGGCATACGCTCACCGCTGACACAAGGAGTCAAGTAGGCACGCGCACAAGTGACATACTAACTCCAGCAACTGTATGCTGACATAACTTGAGTTAACATAAGTTTATAGTGTAGATATGGCCTTAGATATATGAATCGTTCGGGAGAGGTAACGGCAAAAGTATGAGGCAAGGCCGAGATTCACTCAGGGGTTTAGGCTCCTACTTTTGTGGATCTGGGCCTCCTGCATCCAAAAGGCTCAAGAACAAAAGGGCACATAAAGAGAACCCAATATCATTTATTTCTTTTTTAAATTTCATGACTTGGGGGTGCATAACTCATGACTTTTGAATTCGTGTGGTTGTCAAGCAATCTTGGGACTGTAGATGTGTGTTCATTATGTTGTGAAGGCCAAAACTATAACTGGGTTCAAAAAAGAATTAGATAAATTCCTGGAGGATAGGTCCATCAATGGCTATTAGCCAAGATGATTAGAGATACAACTCCACTAGGAACAACCTGAATATTGTTGTGATTTTGGGTGTAAGTGACCATCTAGCGCACAGCAAGCTTACCTGGGCGGCAAGACAGACCAGAGTACCCAAGGAGACGGTCTGTGACTCCATGGTAAGACTGTTACAGTGCCTGAGGAATTTCTACTTGGTTGGTGAAATCTCAGTATAGAACTCTCAGCCAATCTGGAGTTTGTGCCCTAGTTTTTAACGATCTGCCCAGAGGTTGGTACTCATGCCCTTCCAGACAGCTTAACGTGGGGCAGATACCCTGTATTCGACATACACCAGAGAAAGATTGAAACCAACTTTCAGTGAAAAACTCAAAGCAAAACTGGTATCATCAAGACCTACAGCAGACTAGTTACAAGCTGTCTTCAACCTAAACTTTGAGGTGCCCATATACTCATTGACTTGAATGGGGACAGATGGTCAAAAGCAAAAAGCTCCAGAAATTCCGTTAACATATTCAGTGTCACGTGATCTGTACCACCAGTTTTGCAGAGGCGGCCATGTTTGGTGCCTACCAGAGCACTACTGGTACCAGAGGCACGCTGCCCCCTCTCCTTAGCGATGTGCCTCTGTGCAGGAGCCCTGGCACCATACTGCTGCCCACCCCACAGCACTGTGAGCATGAGCCCGGGGTCAGGAGCAGCTCAGCTTCCTTGTAGGTCAGAGGCGAATGGGCGGCAGCAGACACTGGCTGGTATTCTGCCGCTGGTAAATGATAGCTCCCCCCAAAACGGTTGGGAGACATTGCTGTAAGTTCATCGGGGGCCTGCCTGGTTGAGCATTTTTACCCATCCTGTTGCAAATGTTTTCATCACTAGCCCCTGTCTTCAGCCTTGCACAGCAGCACCTGCTGCGTATGTTCAATCCCCTGAAACTCTATGGGCCTGACAAGTTAGGATACAAGTGTTGCCGAAGCATAAGAAGGAAAAAAAAAAAAGAGGCCAGGCCCCTCGCCTGTGTCTCAGGGGAGGGTACAACACACCCAGGCGAGGGTTACAGGTTGTGTTTGATCCCATGTCCATGTGATTCTCACTGGGAGCTGGACTACAGGGGTATTATATCACTATAGTTCTGCCCGTCAACTTCGCCGTGTCGACAAGCCCTCACTCTGCGCCCCTCCTTGGAGCGATTCGTGATAAACCTGGGAAATCAGCATCTCGGCTCTGCAAGGACAGAGAAGAGCCGGCTGGGGTTGAAAACAGAAATGTTTACCAGGGAGCTGAAGAGTTTGTTTTCGAAGTGCTGGTGGAGCTGCCCAATCTCTCGGATGAAGCAGGAGTGTGAAAAACCATTGCCGGGGGAAAGGGCTACTTTCTTGTATTGTTAATTGCCAAGTTCTAGCTCCAGGGTCTGGCTCTTTAGACAAAGTAGAAAATGGAACAGGCCCCGGGGCTTTCCCATTCCCAAGCGCTTTTTGTCCAAACATTTCAAAATGCTTCATTACGATCAGGGCCGGCTCCAGGCACCAGCCGAGCAAGCTGGATGCTTGGGGCGGCAGCTTGTAGGAGGCGGCATTCCGCCCAATCCTAGGGCGGCACGGCGGGTTTTTTTTTGGTGGTGTTCCGCTCCGGCCGCCCTGTAGGGGGCGGCGGCGCGGAGGACGAGAGCGCCCTGCAACAAGCCCGGCAGGGCAGCTGCGTCCTTCCCTCCCAGCCGACCGGAGCAGCGCAGAGCTGTCCCGGCAGGTGGCGGGGCCATGTGGCAGCGCCCTGCTAAAGCCCTGGCCGCCCCCCCTTCTCTCTTCCCCCCCACCCCCCCCGCTAGCCGGGGCACATCTGCAGCACAGGGAGTCCCCCTCCACCCACGCTCCGGCCGCCCCACAGGTTTTTTTTTTTTTGCTTTGCCATTCTGGCCGTCCCGGGTTTTTTTGTTTTTGTTTTTTGCTTGGAGTGGCCAAAAAGCCAGAGCCAGCCCTGATTACGATTAAGTCTCACAACCCTGCTTTCAAGCAGCCGAGTTTTACTCTGTCTGCAGCTGGGGACAGTGGAGCACAAAGAGGTTAAGTGGCTGGCTGGGGTCACACACACACAAATACTGGGGTGTCCTGACCCCATGCCAACGCTTTAGATACAAGTCCCTCTTTCCTTCCTTGTGGAGAAAAAAATGGGAGTCCAAAATGTCCAGGCTGGACTGACCCTCATTGTAAAGACCTGACAGCAAAGGGCCCAGGGGCTCTGGCAGATAGCCTGGGGAAGGGGTTCCCGCAGTGAGGTCCCTGGTCAGAAAAGACCCTACCACCCACCGCTCCTCTCAGAGGGAAAGTCAGGCCAGACAGCACGTACCACCCCGCTGAGTTTAACGGCCTTAGAAGGACCGAGGGGAACAGTCCCTGGATTTGTATAGCGGTTGGCAGGGGTGGTTACAGTAGCACCTCTCCCAGCCACGTCATGTGCAGCAACTCCCTGGAGTGTCAGAGCGGTAGACCTCAGGGGAAGCTCTCCTGGGCCCTGTTTACTGATGGACTCAGACCTACGACCTGCATTTTCCCTGCGTCTTTAGCTGGTCAGAGTCCTGGTTCATGTAGGGGAGGGGCACTTCGCCCACAGCTTTGTGCTTTTTGTCCCATGCCCCAGTACCCTGTAGAACCATATTGATCAAAAATAAATCTCCGAATCGTCCGTCCCCTACTCGGCCCCCTAGACACACTGACCCCAAAAGTACAGGGATATTTGTGGGGCCACCAATTTGGGGTGTGTGTGGGTGGGGGGGGGGGGGGCTGAGTTAAGGTAGCAAATGAGAGTCGACACAGCTGAGCGCTAAAGGAATGCAGATCTTTTCTGGCACTGGATAAAAATGCAGGCGGGGGGCAGAGAAACAGAGAACACGAATCAGCAAAATGGATTCCATGAAGCAGCAGAAGGTGTTTCCATGTTACACACATGCTGTTGCTTTAATGCCAAGCCTCCAGCAGAACAGACAAGAAGCTAGACCCAGCAAACCTCTGATTCAGAACGTCCCCCCCATCGGGAGAGCAGTGAGCTGAGGTTTACTCTACGATCCCCCCTTTCATTTCGGAACGGGGTCAGCACATTCTGACAGAACAGGAATACCGCCCAAAGTGTCCAAGCCACCCCAGCTCAACAGATTGCTCTCCCGTTCCACCGCTAACTTCCTTATGGGACAACGAGCTGCATCCAAGCTCAAAAGCACTTTGCACTCAACTGCTAGATAACCCTCCCAACCCCCTCCCATCCGCCCTGTGTCTGACCGATCAGGAAATAGGTCACCAGGACAGTACCTGATCTTCCCAAGCCCCCACGGGAGTCAGCGTCAGAACTCAGGCGCGCATGGCTTCTAGGCTGTCGCTCACAACATACCTGCCTCTGTGGCTACATTTTGTGAGCTCTGTTCACTCCGAAGCTATGTCTACTCTCTGAGAGAGGGGCACGACGCTCCTGCTTGTGCATGCACGCTCACACTTGCTCGCACCAAGCTAGCACAAATATCACTAGCAGTTTGGCGGCAGCAGCACGGGTAGCGGAGGCACGGCTGAGCCGTGCAGAACACAGACCCGCTGCTTTCAGGCACGTTTGTACTTGGCCCAGCTCAGTTGTGTCTCCATTGCTGCCACAGCCACACTGCTAGTGATACTTGTGCTCGCTCGCTGAGCGCTAGTGTACGTGTGCGCACGCCGGGGCCGCTGGCTGAAGTGGGATTTGAGAGGTGCATAGGCCATCTGCATGGGCTGAATTTCCCCCGCAATGCTCTCACCGTTAGACCTGCTGGACAAAATTCAGCCACAACTCCTGTTGAGGGCAGTCTATTTATTGGCCCTCTCCCGCACATTCCAGGCATGCACAGAACCCATGGAGGTCAGGGATCCTCCAATGCCTGCTCTCTCCTCTGCCCACCTCCCCTGCTGGTGGTCAGAGCTGACCTCTCACTTGGGTTTCTTTTCCAGAAGATGCACAAGATGCTGGGCACCGAGCCCCTCCAGGGTGGTGCTGCATGCTCTCCCTGGCATTGGTGGGCGGGCAGGCAGAACGCTCAGCACCATGAGGAGCCCAGCCCCACATCTCTATATGGCTCTTCCTCACGTGGCTAATGCCCACCTCCCAGCTTTATCCCATGAGCTCAGCGTCACAAGTGTGGCTCTTGTAACAGGCCCGCAGGACTGCGGGAACCTGCTTCATGAGGCTCTCTCTGCACCTGCTGGGGCAAGGAGCTTTCTTCAGCCCATCTGGGGTTACGGGGTGTGTTCCTACTTGACCCTCTAGGGTGCTCCATGATGGGCACTACGAAAGAAACAAAACCCATCTGTACCCCCGGTCGGGTCTTTTCTCTAGATAAACTTTGGTACGTTTCTAATAGAACTGCCTTGAAACAAAGCACATGGGATGTCCTGCACCCAAGGCTGGACGACTGGTTGGCCTGTCTGGAACACCCCAGCCAACTTCTTTCTTTAAGTAGCAAAATACACGCAAACGCTGGCAACGCTTCATCTCCTGTTTATAGTATGAGACCAAGGGCCAAACAAATCACTGGTGTATTGCCACTGAAGTCAGGAGATTTACATCAGGGATGCCTTTGGCCTATAGATTTGAGGAGGACTCATTCTCAGGAGCATTTCTGAAATTTGCAGGGCGATTATTTGGGGCGTTGTCAAACGGCAAATCCACTCACGTCCTTCCTCTGGGCACCACTTTGAAGGACAGCCTGATTCTCAGCTGGTGTAAACTGGGATAACGCCTTTGAGGTCACTGTTGCTACACCAGTTCACACCAGTGGAGGATCTGGCCTTAACTGGGCATCCCTTCTAACAGTAGATGGGTTGGGTTTGGTTTTCATTTCCAACTGTTGTACTCGAGTCCTGGTTTCTCCCGTCACTGGTCTGCTGCGGATGGCAACTTGATTTTGCAGCTGAACGCGAGAGACATATTAAGCCACTTCAAGCACTCCTCCCCTTTGCCATGGCAGCACCGCTCCCCCAGGCTTTGCTCAATCTTCTTTCAAAAGGTCCCAGCTTTGGGGCTTCCACAGCTTCCTCTGGGAGACCGTGTCACAGACAACTAGGTCTCCCTTTTGGAGACGGTTATTCAGCCTACTTTTACCATTGCTCCGTTTCCGCCTGTTATTTCTAGTGATTCCCCCTTCGCCGCGCTAGACATTTTCTCTCCTTCCTTTGGTTATTACTCTGTTCAGTGATTCCCAGTCATACACCTGATTGGTCCATTGATTTGGCCTCTCTCCTGTGTGGGCTCCCTTGTGCTGAACTGTTCATTGCTTGTTTCTGAATGTCACTCTCTGACAGCCTTCCCTGGCTGACCAGAAGTTCATACACCTGAAAGAGTTCCTTCCACTCCTAAGTCCATAAGGCAGCCCACTTTGCTGAGGAGTTTTTCCCCAGATATGTTTCTGCATCTCCCCATATTTAAAAGGGGTAGATGGTTACCCTGGATTTCTTGTGGCTTGTTAGCTCACAACAACTGGGAGCATCTCCAATATCTTTTGTTGATCTTCACTCACCCAAGAAATTTTCCTGGATTCAGTTCCCAATGCTTGAGATGTTCATCTGCCATCTCCTTCCAGATAGGCTATTACCCCGGTGCCTCATTGCCAGGAAAAGGAAAGTCGTCAACACTGACCACCCGGAATGGGAGCTCCCCACTCAGCTCCTCCGTGTAGGTGGGTTTCCAGGGGACATTGCAGACGTTCACCCTGGGGGAAGACAGGTGCATATCCCTCACCCACATGTTTCTCTGTCCCCGTGGTGGGTTCACTGGTGCGTGCGGAGATGATGCTTCTGAATGAAGCCCTTTTCACACTGGGTGCACCAGTAAGGTCTCTCTCCCGTGTGAGTCTTAAAGTGGCATTTCAAGTTTTCGCCCTTCTGGAAGCTCTTCCCGCACTTGCTGCAGGTGTAGAGCCAGACTCCTGTGTGCTTGTGTTGATGCATCTTGAGGAGCTTGAGGGTCCGGATGGCGTCTCCTCAAAGGGTGCAGTCTTAGGGCTTCTCGCCAGCGTGTGTCCTCTGGTGCATCACCAGAGTCTGCTTGTGCCGAAAGCTCTTGCCACAGTTGCAGCAGATGAAGAGACTCTCCCCGGTGTGAGTTTGCTGGTGAACTTTCAGCACCCGGTGTGTCCGGAAGCTCTTCCCGCATTCGCTGCACAGGTAGGGCCGCTCGCCTGTGTGGATTCTCCGGTGGATCTTCAGGCACTCGGCGGTGCTGAAGCTCTTCCCACATTCACTGCACAGGTAGGGCTGCTCGCCCGTGTGCGTTCTCTGGTGCGTCACCAGGTGCTGTTTCTGGATGAAGCTTTTCCCGCACTCGGTGCAGAGGAATGGGCGCTCCCCTGTGTGCGTGTGCAAATGGCGCTTCAGGTTCTCGCTCTTCCGGAAGCCCTTCCCACACTCGCTGCAGGTGTGCTCGGAGGGCTTCTGCGCAGCGTGACTTTGCCGATGCCGTCGGAGCTGCTTGTGCACCGCGAAGCCTTCTCCGCAGTCATTACACGTGTAGGTGCTCCCCCCGGCGTGAGTTCTCGCGTGCCTCACGAGCGATTGCCTGTGGCTGAAGCTCTTCCCGCAAGCCTCACACACGTGGAGCGTCTTTCCCGTATGGATTTGCTGGTGAAAGCTGAGATCCTTGCGTATCCGGAAGCTCTTCCCGCACTCGCTGCACAGGTAGGGCCGCTCGCCCGTGTGGGTCCTCTGGTGCTTCACCAGGTGCTGCTTCTGGATGAAGCTTTTCTCGCACGCCGTGCATGCAAAGGGTCTCTCCCCTGTGTGGATCCGATTGTGCCGCTTCAGGTGCTCGCTCTTCCGGAAGTTTTTCCCACACTCGTCACACGTATGGGGCCGCTCCCCCATGTGGATCTGCTGGTGCAGTTTGAGATGCACGGGCATGCAAAAGCTTTTCCCGCAGCCAGGGCTTCTGTATGGTTTCTCTCCAGCGTGGATTCTCTGGTGGATCCTAAGGGTTTGCTTACAGCTGAAACTTCTCCCACAGTCGTTACGCACGTGCAGCTCCTCCCCAGCCTGAGTTCGCTGGTGAACGTGAAGAACCCCGTGCGTCTGGAAGCTTTCCCCACCCTCTCTGCCATGCAATGCCCTCTCCCCCAGGTGGGTGCTCTGGTGTGTTTTAAAGCGGGCAGACGTGCTGAAGCTCCTCCCACACTGGGGGCAGTTATACGGTGCCACCCCTGAATGGGTTCTCTGATGTGTTACCAGATGGTGCTTTTGGCGAAAGCTCTTTCCACACTCCGGGCAGGTGTAGGGTCTCTCCCCGGTGTGCGTCCGAAAGTGGCATTTCAGATTCCCACGCTTCTGGAAGCTTTTCCCACATTCGCTACATTTGTGAGGTTTCTCATCTGGGCTGAGCTGCTGTGGATTTGTGGTTTCAACAGGCTTTCCTTTCAGGTGGGCTTTTCTCCTCCCCACAGCAAGGCTGCCCTGACCAGTGCGGTTTACTCCCTGGATAGAAAAAAGCAAATTATATTCCTTTTCCGAGTCTCTGGATGGTGTCTCGACTTGTCCCAGGTTCTCAGCATTTTCCTTATCATCCTCATCCTCCTTAATTAGGAGCCTGAAATCAGCGGCTGGAATTAAAAAGAAAAAAACATTCTGGGCATCCACATGTGTTGGTTGCAAAGACCAAATCTGTTACCAACTAACCCTTGCTTCCAAGACATTTCAGCCCTTGTCACGCAGGTCTGCTACAGCTGCAGCTCAATACACTTGCGAGCAGCAAGTGTGAGCCGGCCTAATTATGGGTCTGATTCTGCCACTCTTGCATTAAGCACTCCCATTGAAATCAGTGGGACTATCTTTGGAGTAAGGGGAGATACAGGTGACAAAAATCTGGCTGTATGTTAGAACAGTTTTCCAAAAAGTGTGTGGTATTGAATTAAGTTGTAAGATCAATGTAGCTGAGGGACTTGCCGGAGTGAGTCCTGTTCACATAACAGGTTTCACAGCATGGACCCCTCAGAGAGTTTTCCTGGATACTCTGATATCAACCCATTCTGCGTTTGCTCTAAAATTCCTTGAATCCTCTACTCCAGCTCCACACTCCATTGGATCTCATCCTCCAGTTAATCGCCCCGAAACAAAAATTCATTCTTTTCACTAGACAGTAAACTCTCCCATGGGTCCCTGGGATTGATAACGGCCTGGATCACTTTCCCAATACAGCCCAACACAAACACTCATCTCTGATTGCTGCTGTTGTCTCAGATGGTAGCAATCTGCTCACGGTTTCTATGGCAGGGAAGCTAGTAAAATTCTTACTCACTTTCAGGTAATTCTATTTCTTCCAGATCCTGATGCTCCCAGAGCGATGGCTCTTCCTCCGGATTGTTCAGCAACGCAAGAGTAGGTCTGGGAACTGGATACCCTGTTCACAAAGACAGGATTACACAACAGTCTGAAAGATTCTCCTTCCACCCTGTGCTCGACTTCCCTATTCCCACCCCCTGGAGCAAGCTCTCGACAGCGCTAGCAATCCACACCCGCATCTGAGCAGCATCACTCATAGTGGGGCCAGGATTCGGCACTTCAATGTTCATTTGCAAAAACTCTGCAGCTTTTTATGTCCTGGGAAAGCTGGGGGCTTGGATATTCGCCTCCATCTCTGATCCCACCCAGGAACGTCAAAGCTCCTCCAACACGCAGTCAAACAATGAAAACCGATCTTTACCTAGTGAAATCAGATGATCATAATTCTCCCTCATCACCTCCCGGTACAGCGCCTTCTGCCATTCTGTCAATTTCTCCCACTCCTCAAGGGTGAAATAGACAGCGACGTCCTCAAATGTCACTGGCACCTGAAATCCAGGGGGACATACACTCAGCACCTACTGCTGACGCCCTGAGACTCAGCCAGGCAGAGGGACGTGTTTCTGTGCTGTACAGCGTGTTTATATTCTGCTGTGGATGTTTCATACACACAGTCTCATTTTTGGACACGTGTAAACTCCCAGGAATAGGAACTGCGTTTGGTACAGAGTCAGTGCTCACTACTTTATCCAGTGGTATCTGAGCACCTCAGCAAAGAGATAAAAAACCCCAAAGGAGCTTAGAAGTTGTAGTCTGAACTTTACTGCTGCCGCTACATGGCTTCCTCATTGCTCCGTCTCTACACACACAGGCCTGTCCTCCACTCTTCCTGGACATCTGGAACTCTTAGGCCTTGGCTACACTTGCGAGTTACAGCGCTGTAAAGCCGCCCCCAGCGCTGTAACTCACTGACCGGCTACACTGGCAAGGCACGTACAGCGCTGTATCTCCCTGGGTACACCATCTCTCCGAGAAGCATAAGAGATACAGCGGAGTGGCTACGACTCTCCCCTGTGAGTGTGTACCAGGAATCAACCTGCTGCACTGTACTGATCCCCTTGTCAAGTGGCCAATCCTCTCCATCGTTGTGACCGGCTGCAGGAATGCGGAAGTGCCGGTTTCAAAGCTCGTACCACAGAGAAAAAGCAAACAGTTTGCTGTTTGCTTTGAGTGAGTGAATGAATGAGCAGGGGGCCGGGAGTTCGGAACTTGCAAAATAGAGAGCTGACACGCTCCAAAAAGCACTCTCTCCCCCCCCCTCCCTGTCACAATCCACCCCACCCCCCCGTTTTGAAAAGCACGTTGCAGCCACATGAATGCTGGGCTAGCTGCCCATCATGCACCGCTCCCAACACAGCTGCAAATGTTGCCACGCCACTGCGCTGTCAGCGGTCAGTGTGGACAGACTGCAGCGCTTTCCCTACTCAGCTGTACGAAGACAGGTTTACCTCACAGCGCTGTACAGCTGCAAGTGTAGCCAAGGCCCTAGTCTTACACAATACATTGGCCAATCACTTGCTACAGGCCCCTTCTGACCAATCAGAACCTCCAGAGCAACGTCTGGTCAGCTTACAGGAGAGAAAAGTAAAGTCCTGATTGGTTGGAGGCACTTTACTATTCAGAGGTTTTGTCTTTTGAGCATATAGTTCTGCACCTCGCCTTTCTGTGCCCCAATTAGTGGGTTATTCCTTACAGTGTATTGAATCCATCACCTCTATAAGTTGCACATATAGAATCTCCACACCTAATAGGAGATTACGGCTTCTCGTGAAAACACATCTGCATGGTCTATCTCACAGAGGGCTAATCCAAAGCCTTCTGAAGTCAATGCAAGTCTTTCTAGGACTCCAGTGGGCTTTCAATGCGGGCTGAGACTTTTGCATCTTTTCCATGCTCTTCACAGCACTGAATGCGAATTTTTTTTGGAACATGTTGGGCTGACACTGACATTTATTTTTGTCTTTTAACGGTTAGATGAGGGAGGCCCAGCGTTTACAGCACCAACTTCCCTGATTTTAGAGCACAAGCAGCCGCTGCAGGCTATAAAGTGCTGTAGCCCCGTTGCACAGTTGCCAATTTTCACACAGTAAATAGGCCCCCCGACTTTCACAATAAGCCAAAATTCAAGCTAATCCCATTTCAAAACAAGGCCAAAACCAGCCAATCCCTAAGAACCCCAACACTCTATGTGACTAGATCCCCCCAGCGTGCAGCCTGGGACTGGGGTGGGCCTGCTGTGACCCCTGACTCTCTCCCCCCCTTGCCCCTGCAGCCTTGCCCTGCTTGCCGGGAGCCGATCAAAGAAAGCAGCAGTAACACGCTACAAGCCAAACAAGCTCCAAGCCAAAAACTAGCCAACAAGCAACTCACAAGCCAATTAAGCCAAAAACAAGCCCAAATTTCTGCATTTTTCCCACGGGTTTGGCATGTCTGTCCTGTTGGTGCCAGGAGATTAGAGAGACCAGGTGGGTGAGGTCAGATCTTTAATTGGACCAGCTTCTGTTGGGGAGAGAGACAGGCTGCTCCAACAAGAGAGATTCCCTCACCCACCTTGTCTCTCTGCCCAGCCAACAGATTGGGAAGGGCAGAACGGTTGAGCGTTACACCTGCAGGGGGCCAAGGGACACGCTGCAGGTAACGAGCGCCCTAGTCGGGCTGTTTGCTCCAATCTCGGGCCCCGATCCTGTGCTGGGCAAGGGGGCCTGGCTGGAGCCCAGTCCTGGTGCCAGGGCTTATCCCCCTGGATTGCAGGAGCCCGGCAGCGTGGGGCGTTCAGAGCTTGGGGGAGTGGGGCCAGGGGAACCCACCCCCTGCCCTGCCGCGGGGGGGGGGGGCGCCTCTGCCTGGCACCAGCTGATGGCAGCCCTGGGAATCGCCCCAGTTCACAGCCCCCCGAGGAAGAGGCGGGGGGCAGCAGCGGGGCAGGTGTTCCCGGCAGCAGGGGAAGCTGCTCCCCGCAGCCCCAGGGGAGGCCGCCAGGGCCCTGCAAACTCCGCCCCTGACTCCCGGTGAAGCGGGGTGGGGGGTCCCCGCGGGCGGCCCGGGACCCTCCCTCGCCCTGCTGGGATCCACCCCCAGGGCCCGCCCAGCACCCGCAGCATCCCCCGGCTCCTACCCGAACAGGGGCCCCGCCAGCCATCGCCCGGGCGCCGCTGCAGCCGAGCGGGGACCCCGCCGAGCCCCGCTCCCGACCCCTGCTCCTGGGAGCCGCGGGCTCCCCGCACGCTCCCGCTTCGCCTGGGCAGCGCCTCCTGCGGGGCTCGCTGAGCCCCGCTCCAGCGCCACGTGTGTGTAATTACCGGAGACCCCGCCCCCACCGGCGCGTTTCCGCCACACCAACAGGTGCTTCATGCCCCCCTCGATGGGGCGGGGTGCGGGGCCAGGGGTCGGGCTGGCCAGTTGTAAGGCGCCATTAACAGAAGTTGGTTCTGGGTCCAAAAACCAGCCACCCTAAAGCATGTTAGGGGCCGGGGGCTGGTTCCTCCCATTAGCTACTTGCCCCAGCCCCGGGGTGACTGGTGGAGAAGAATGAGGGGGGATTTGATAGCTGCTTTCAACTACCTGAGGGGGGGTTCCAAAGAGGATGGAGCTCGGCTGTTCTCAGTGGTGGCAGATGACAGAACAAGGAGCAATGGTCTCAAGTTGCAGTGGGGAAGGTCTAGGTTGGATATTAGGAAACACTATTTCACTAGGAAGGTGGTGAAGCACTGGAATGGGTTACCTAGGGAGGTGGTGGAGTCTCCATCCTTAGAGGCTTTTAAGGTCAGGCTTGACAAAGCCCTGGCTGGGATGATTTAGTGGGTGTTCGTCCAGCTTTGAGCAGGGTATTGGACTAGATACCTCCTGAGGTCCCTTCCAACCCTGATATTCCAGGATGCTATGATCAGGACTTTCTTTCCAGCAGAGGTGGTTTGGGGGTTGGTCAGAGGAGGCAGTTTTCGTTGTGGAAGGTGACGATGCAAATCAGGAAGGGCGAAGAGCTTTTTCAGCCCTGGACTTTGTTAACATGGCCCAGGGCTGATGGGCCTCCAAGCCAAACTCTGATACGTGTATAACAGCATGCGGCGCAGCTGTCTGTATTCTGCTCAGCTCCCAGTGTAGTCACTCTGGATTTATAGCAGTGTAAAAGCAAGAGGAAAAATTCACCGAGTCTCTGGAATGATTTATCAGTTCTCACTTCTTCAGCCTGCATCCCACGGCAAGAAAACTCCACTACAACCGCTTCATGAAATAATGGTGACCCAAGGTCCTCTTTGCAGAGGGCACAGGGGTACATAAGGGTTGCAAGGATCCCCCGGGTCTGGTATGTATGCAGTAGCCGGCCCATGAATGTCATGTAGGGTCTCCAATGAAAGTGTGTGTCACACTGGTTATCATAATCATTGCAAGATGCATGTATGGAAAATATGTTGAGTTCTGTTTGATGCTAAAAACTCTGTTTTCTAGGGCGGTGAGTTAAGGCAAGTCACTGACAGGTGATCCACAAACTCCTGTCAGGCAGGGGGTAATTGATGCTCATCTCATTCTGGCCGGTCGCTGTGATTAATCTCTGAGCAAAAGTATTGCCGAGCTTAAAATAAACAAAGGTATTGTCAGTGTTACGCCTCAAACTTCCGCTTGGCAGAAGCAAAGAGGGCACGCTTGGCAGAGGCGAAAGGGGCACGCTTGGCAGAAGTCAGGTAAGACTTGTGATCCAAACGCGCTGCAACCAGATAACACATTCTAACTCCTATAAAAGGAGATAAGCTGTGCCCCGGGGGGGCACAGCTTGTCTAACTCACAATTAAAACAATTGGCTACAAGAAAATACGTAAGTATAAATTATACGGTCAAAGCGACAACGCTAACCACAATAAAGATTTGGCTGAGCCTAATTGGTCGATCTGTTTTAAGACGTGGCGGACAGATCAGATAAAAAATATAAAGGCACGGGCCTGCGTGTGTGTTTTGGACATAAGGGAAACCTGACCCACACCCCCTGAACCGAAGGGACGTGCACTTCGCGACCGTCTGTACCTGGCCGTGCAGAAAACGACTGACTGAAGGGTAACGTATTCTCGGGTGAATGCAGGGTAAGGTTATGGAGTGAAGAAGTCTGGTTGCTTGGGCAGAACTGATCTCAAGTTGTATTGATACTATAGTGTTAAAATAGTAGTAAGTAGCTAATGAATAATAATTTTACATGCACTTGTGCTTGTCTTCAGTATAACTTGCCATTTATATTAATCCTTATTCAGTGCTGGTCTTTAATCTTGCTTTTCTTATTTTGTCTGTGTTGCTTTTATAGTCAAGTCATTTAAAACCTTTTTTGAGGCAATCAGTAGTTTTAATTTTTCTTATATGGGCACTACTCAACCTCATTACATCTGTGGTGGGAAAGTAGTGATCACCAAGGGCACAATTAGGGTCCTGACGCGTGCCTCCCTCTTCCTTTATTTCTGCAGTCATGTGCAAATTAAGTACTGTACAATTCACAATGGACGGCCATTTACCATATGAGCAAAATGCTAGTCATTAGATTGTGGAGGTTGCAGGACAAAACAAGAACACCTGGGCTTATCCTTTTACAGTATATCTGGGATGTAGATGAACCCCCAGTTCTCCTTCAATCTATGTGAACAAACCACCAGTGGGCTTGATCTTATGGGAAGTGGTTGAAAAGGCTGGGGAAAGGACGGGGGGTCAGCTAGCTTGCAGGAGCCAGGGGCGTGCCTTGAGAGTTCTGTTGAGGTGCTAGCGAGCATGCTATGATTTTGTTTCATATGTAACCATTTGTTTCCAACACTCTTTTTGTCCCTCGCTTGACTCTCAGTTCTCTGATGTTAAACGTATCCCTGTTGTCGCTATACATCTACCGGAGCCGTGTGACGCAGAGCGGGGACCCTGAGCGGGCGTGTTCTGATCCTTTGGGAGCAGCGAATCCGAGAGCTCTGCATTCAGTGGTATTAGGAGAACAAGTGATAATGTAGGATTCAGGCCTGTATTTTCACCTGAGAAAGAATTTTGGGCCTTGTTTGCCTGTTTGATTCTTGATACACTTATATTCTTACTCATATGTGTGAACAAAGGACAAAGACACCGTGTGTGTTGCTTCTGCCGGGCCAGATGGGTTTGTTAGTATAACGGGAACAGATAAGAGCAGTTGAAGTATAGAACAGATGATAACAGTCAAAGCGTTACTGGGCATGGTGGGAGTGTAATATACGAGTGCACACTTGAAGACTGCCTATCCCTATCTCAAGGCAAGGTCAAGCAACCAGTCGGGAGGGACAAGGGGGATTGGGGGGAAGGTATAAAACACTGAAAGGCCAAAGAAATGCCTGTCCCTGACGGTACACAACCTCACTCCTTGCCCCTCCCATGGAGTACAAAAGAGGTGGGACAAAGACCCCAGACTCATGACCCCCCCGCCCAAACGGGACACGACCATAACTTGTAAGGGGTGGGACCGAGGGTGTGCATTGCAGGTATAATTATGCCTGCTAAAAGGGAATGGGGACGCAGGCAAAGCTCTGCAGCGTCGGAGCCAGGCAGGGGGACGCGGGGTGAAGGCTCCGTGGCGTCGGAGCCGGGCAGGGGGACGCGGGGTGAAGGCTCTGCGGCGTCAGAGCTGGGACCAGGACACTGGGAAACAAGGCTGTGTGGTGTCAGAATCATGGACATGCTTGTTTGAACCTAACCCCAATACAGATCTTATTGCCTGCATATCGGACTTCTGGTCTTCTGCTTTCTGTCTGCGTGACAAGAACCGGGGGAGGGGGTGAAAAGAAAGCCCTCGAACAAGTGGATCAGGGCTGAGCACTCCAGAGGGATGTTCCAAGGACTTGGCCATTGGCAGATGCCTATCGCTAACCTGTACAGAGAGCAAGGGCGGCGGAGGCCTGGAAGGCTGGTGGTTTCAGGGAGCTAATCCACAGCAGGTCCAGACAAGACATCCTCCCACTAAGGACAGGTGGTGGTGGGGTCGTGGGAAGCGTCACAAGCTGCCATTAGTGAGCAGGCAGCACAGGGACTGGGTGCCTTGGCCCTGCACCACGGAATAGAAGACCTGCCTTCATCCATCCTCTGCCAGCCCGGGGTAGGAGCTGTCGGGACAGAGTGTTCCACATGGAGCGGAGGCTGGAGGAGACACACAAGTGAAGGACAGAGTCTCTGAGCTGTAAGTTAAATGGCCCTTAGATGGACTATGGCATATAGGGGTGTCAAAACTGGTGGAACTCACTGAGGAACCAAGAGGGGAGGGTGGCCTTGAAACGACACTCACTTCGACTCTCTCCCACCCACTCTAGGGCTGTGTAAGTAGGTCCTGTGGAGTCTGTATTGGACTCCCTTCCACTGGGGGATTTAGGAAACCGTTAGCGGGATTTGTTGAGGCATTATGTCAGGTCTGCCACAGCTGAATGCATAGGCGCCGGCTTCCTCTCTACCTGGTGGGGTGCTCAACTGCCCCAGGCCCTGCCCCCACTCCAGCTCTTCCCCCAAGCCGTCACCCCACCCCTTCCCACCTTTGCTCCGCCCCCCACCCCTTCTCCGCCTCTTTCTGCCCCCTCCCCTGAGCACGCTCTGTCCCCGCTCCTCCCCTTCCCTCCCAGCACCTCCTGCACACCACGGAACAGCTGATCCGCGGGGGGTGCTGGGAGGGAGGGGGAGAAGTTGATCAGCCGGGCTGCAGGCAGGGGGGAGGCACTGGGAGGGGAGGGAGGGAAGCTTGGCAGCTGGTGGGTGCTAAGCACCCACGGAGTCGGCGCCTATGGCTGAATGGATTGAGGCTGTAATGAATCCGTGCTTGAGAAGCACAGTGGCCGTGCCCTGGAGTTAATTAGATCTGCAGAAAGAGCTCGGTTTGTAATACACTATTTTTATTGCTCCAAACACCCTGCACACAGTCCATGAGATTACAAAGGATTCACAGGTATTGCTGGTAGGGATGTAACTATCGCTTAAGGAAGTACCTGTTTAAACTATTAAAATGATATCGTTAACCGTTTAATCGTTCACCAGTTCACAATCTACCCCTGGCGTGGGTGGACCCACCCTGCCGTCTCTCCTCGGAGATGGAGTGCAGTGGGCTGGGGGACGGTTTGCATGTGCACGGCTGGGCGCTGCCACCTCTCGCTCTCCCAGTTTCTAGGCACTGCTGAGTGCGGCTAGTTCGGCAGATTACTGCCGGGAGAGCAGTGGTGCCAGGGCAGATCCAAGTGTTCCAGCAGATCCAGTGGTTCCCGGGCAGACCCACCGCTGCAGCCAGCTGCAAGAGAAGCAGAGCTGGGGGGGGCTGCTGGGCTGCCCCCAGCGGTGCCCTCTCTGCCGGGCACAGGCTGATCCAGCGGCACCCCGAGCTGCAAAAGCGCTGCAAGCTCCCGCATCCCCTGGGTATTGCTGTGACATTTTTGATGTGCACGTTAGCTATTACAATGTCACAAAATTATTTTACCAATCTGTTTTAAACGTTAACTGGAATCTATTAACGGTAAGACTAATACTGATTGGTTAACATTTTACATCCCTAACTGCTGTACGGTTCTACCACACGCGACAACAATGCAATAAAGCCCTTCGCTCACCACTAGAGAGAGACATTGGTTTCTGCCATTGCTACTCACACCAGCGAACGATTATTATGCGTTCCAAGTGAAGTCTGCAGCACACGTCCAACGCCTCCGCTGATGCCAGCCGTTCTTGGGCCTTCCAAGCTCCCACAGACAAGGAGGTGCAAGGACAGGAAAATCAAGCCCTAGCCTGGCTCAGAGAAGCATCAGGCACACAAACTTCAGACTAGATTTTTTTAAAAAGTGTCTGAATGTTTCTGTGTGTCAGCATGGTGCTGGAGAAAGGTGACAGCCCAGGAGACAGGCTTCCTCTATCCCCAGAGCATGTACATAGACAGCGTGGTGCAAGCAACCCAAACCGTGCTCTTGATCTGGGGAAGTCCAGTTCTAGCAGGCAGGACCGGTAATTCTGCACAACTCATTCAAACCTCAGCCTCTCTGCTGGGAATGCCAGGAAAGGGTCAATTTAGGAAGGGTACATGGAGAGCTGTCTACTGATAAAATGGCTGAGACCCAGCATATTCATTTCTCATGGGCCACTTTCCATCACTATCAACCCCAGCGAGATTTAAACTTAGCAGCAGAAAGCTCACCCTCTCATTAGGAATTGCTCTTCAGTGCTCCTCGACTTTTTTAAAAATTGCCTGGAGATCCTGCGAAGCCTGGTGACTCCATCAGCTCTAACACCTCAGCACATGTTGTGTCATCTCACCTCTACCAGAAGACAGCTGAAGCACTGAGCCACCCTAGAGGTTCCTGGAGACTTTCCTAAGTGACAGATCTGTGTGTGCGCACACACGTTTTCACAGTCCTCTCCACCGACTTTAACGACAAAGATGGCCACTACTTTGACTCCTTTTAGTTCTCCAGAGCTAGACCAGCTAAGGGGGAGAGAGCTGGATTCTAAACCTTCTTGGACATCAGCGGGAATCATTGTGGGGATTTTCTATGGCCCGTGTTATCCAGGAGGTCAGACTAGATGGTTGCAATGGTCCCTTCTGGCCTTGGAATCTAGGAATCATCAACAGAATTCTTTAAGTTCAAGTCATTTTCACAGGGACAAAACTTAAACACACACAGCCAGCAGATGTGTTGAGCAAGAACGTGCTATTCTTACTCTTCAGAGTAAAACCACCCTTTCAATAGTTCCATTCAAGTCCTATGTGCTGATGTACGGTGGTTTTATTAAGGGTGAACTGAACAATGAGCCTTAAAGTGTCCATCGCATCAGATGGGTGGGGGAATATGTCTTACACTTTTTGGATGCTGTTCCTAACTTGGGTGCACAATATGTTTTCATTTGTCCGGGCAAGTTTTCCCCACGTGCAATGAAATGTCAGATTTTTGTTCTTTCTGTGCAACTTGTGGCCCAGCGGATTAAGCCTCCTGGCTTGTTTTATTGTAACGCACAACAGGAAAAGTGAACTTTGGAACCATGATCACCGAGACCGGCGTTTTTCTTGCATGAGTGACCTGGTGACGCTGAAGATCACGAATGGCTTGAAAACGTCTCCCGCATTCTCTGCACAGGCACGGTGGCTTGGTTATGTGGGTCTCCTGGTGCCTGAGCAGCTGTTGCTTCTGAACGAAGCACTTCTCGCACTTGGTGCATTTAAACCGCTTCTCCCCTGTGTGGACTCTCAGGCGCATTGCCAGGTCTCGCTTTTGAGCAAAGCATTTCCCATATTCAGCACACACACGGGTCCTCTCTGCATGTGTGAGCTGGTGACAGTCCGGATCTGCATGCTTTGCGAAGTGCTTCTCACGTTGGCTCCTTTTCTTCTTGTCCCGCTCCGAGGGATTTGGGATTGTAGCGGACGTCTTGTGGCTCAGGCTGGACAGAGCTAACATGGTGGGCAGCCTCCTGTTCTGCTTGGAGACACTGCTCTCACTTGGGCAGTCTTCTTCCTCGCCGGACACCTGCAAGGCCTGCTCCCTACAGTCCCCGGGTAATATACTGCCTTGTCCCAGGCTTACATCATACCCTTCGTCATGCCTCTCCACCTTGAGCCGGACCCCGAGAGCATCTGCAGGATTAGAATCAATGGCCAGACAATGGTCAGCGACAAAGAACCTTGACATGACAATAGATTTTGTTTTACGGGGGGATTCCAAGACACGGAGCCTTTCAGAAACTTCGTATGGGCCTGCCAGGGGGACAGCTCGGGACTCACAAATCCACTTGGCAAGAGGAACTCTGCAACGTGTAGCATCAGGCTCCTAGTCCAGAACACAAGGGCTCTTCTCAGGCTGTGTCTACGCTCGGCAGTTTTGTCGGTAAAACTTTTGTTGGTCAGGGGTGTGGGGGGGGAAAAACACTCCCCCGATGGACATAAGTGTCACCAACAAAAGTGCCGGTGTGGACAATGCTTAGTCGGTGGGAGACACTCTCCTGCTGACATCGCTCCTGCTGCTCGTTGGCGGTGGTTTAATTATGCCGGTGGGAGAGCTCTCGCCCGCGGGCACAGAGCAGCTACACGGAGACCTTACAGCGGCGCAGCTGCAGCAGTACAACTGGGTCGCTGTAAGGTCCATCGTGTAGACTTGGCCTAAGATGGACAACATTGACTCCACAAACCCACCAGCATGTCTTGGCAGGTAATTTGCTATTCAGACACTGTGCTCTAGACCTGAATTGTAAAAAAAAAAACCCCACCATCCTCTACACCAAGATGTGAATTCAACAGTGAAATGAATACAACTGCCCCCTCCCCCCGAGGTTTTGGGCCTGGATCTGACCCACATCACTTTCCCTGCTAAGTGTGGGTACAGCAGAAGCCATTTCATCCGGAACAACAGACCGGCAGAATTTTGGTTTTGGCAGAGGGAGAGAACTGATTACATTTCTAATCGCCCTGACTCCAACCATTACTGGGGGTTGCAAGGTTGGTCATTCCAATGCAGCTGAACCCCCTTCCCTGTTAGTGGCTGGAGGATTATACCTGCACAAAACGGCTCTGAGTTGCCCAAAATACAGGGCAGGAATTCCATATTAACAGAGATCACTGTAGACACCTTCTTTTCTGAGCCATGTTGAGCAAAGGAAGGGAATCTCTATCCGGCCAGACACCACAGAACCCACCGTAAACTTCCCGTTGATAAAGGGAGACAAGAAGGAAAACTGGTATAATCAGAGAGGGGCTGTGATGATGTAGGCATGCCCAGACCAACCCAGGCAGGCATTAGATCTACTGCATATCCAATCACCTTCTTGATACTTCACCTAAGGGCGGGGTAGTGTGTGGGCTCTGCCGAAAGCTCAGAACTAGCGGACCCTCATGGAGAATACGAGAGGTTAGTACAGGAAATATTTTAAGAGCGATGGAAAATGTGTTGGAGACACAGCATGTCACCTGAGGCGGGGCAGGGCTCAGAACTAACTCAATCAAGAGTGCGAACACAACCCAGCCCAGCGTCTGACCACCTGCAGGCCTGAGCACTGACAAAGGCAAAAGGACCCCAAGAGACGACTCCGACTAGGGGACCCTGAGGGCTGGGCTGAGCTGAAGTTAATGTGATGGCCCGATTATGAAAACAGATAAAAAGTCTGGGGCTGTATAAGAGCTGAAGAAAGGGCACACGATGTTATCCATCCAGAGGTGCTGCTCTGCCAGCGGGAGTGTCTCATGGAAAGGGGATCCCCGCTCTCTGGGCTGGACGGACTGACCGACCATTGGGTGAGAAATACCTTATTAACAAGTGCCTTTCCAGTCTAATAACTACAGGCTCTAGTTTGCGTTTTATGTCTTTTACCTGTATCCTTATGTTTCCAAATCCTTTCACTTGCTTTCATTTGAATCTTTTACTGAAGCTTTGCTAAATAAACTTCCATTTGGTTTTACCGTAGACACATCTAAGTGCCTTGTGCCAAAGAGAACGCTGAACTGAGGTGAGGCCAGTGAACCCAAGAGCACTGCTTCCAGGGAGGCAACAGATCAGCGCACGTTGTGGGTGTCCTGAAGACAGGGGACGAGGCACTCGGCTGTACTAAACCGCTAACCTGCAGTGGGAAAGGGCAGGGCTTGCGATAGCCTGCTGTGGAATTTGTGTAGCTTCGGGAGAGTTTCCCCTGGTGGGCGCAGACAAGACTCCCTCATGCCATTAGCAGGTAATAGCGATTCACCCCACGCACCTAGGTTAGCCCTGAAAAGTGTCACACGTGGACTCTGGTGCCAAGAATAAAACACATTCGCCATTTTCTGCAGCGATACAAACCCCCTCACATCTGACGCTGAGCATTCTTCTCTAGCGAGAAAGGTGGTAATAGCACCAAGCACTTGAGCGGCACTTAGCCGGTGCAATTCAACAGGGTGCAAAGGGCCAGCCCTGCAGGGGCAATGCCTGATCCTGCATTCCTGATGTGCCCGAGTCACCCGCACTTCACTGGAGCCACAGCTTGTGGGATTGCCACAGCTCCACCAACTTCAATTTACGCTCCATCAGCTTCCCCCCACGCCAGGAGCAGATCTGCCCCTGGGTGTTTCGAACGCACCAGGAACGCAGGCGCAGGCCTAGTGGCTATGCAAATGTTGCCACTCACACGCAGGTGATTCTTTTCCTTTCAGATCCAGCTGATCCGAGAGGCCTGGCTCTTCCCCTGGGTCAATCTGCGATAAAATGGCAGGACTCCCACACTGATACCCTGTGAACACAGAGAAAGGGATTACAGAGCCATCGGGAGGAGCTGGCCCAGTCCCATGAGCTCTTGATCACCATCTGCAGGAGCTGAGGATGATCAGACCCCGAAATGTCAGTTGCAAAGAAATATGACTATGAAACCAGAACAAAGCTGTAAATCCTATTTCTGTCCGTTTGTGCTCCGGGATTCCATCGTGCCCCATTCCATGTGGATGGATGGAAGTAAGCGAGATTGCTCCACTTTTGTTTAGAGTGGGCGTAGCTGGGCTCCATCAGGAATCCACGGGTCAGGAGATTAGCCCTGAATCAATAGCCCTTAAAAAACCCCTCCAAAGATCCCACAGCTCCATGCCAGAAACCGAACACTGATCTTTACCCAGTGAGATCAGACTGGCATAATTCTCCTTCATCACCTCTCGATACAGCTCCTTCTGCCACACCGATAAAACCTCCCACTCCTCCCGGGAGAAAGAGATGGTGACATCTTCAAAGGTCAGTTGCACCTGAAATCACAAGCAGTTACTCAACCCTGTCTGCGTCCATCGCCTGCCAGCTCTGACAAGACTGCCGGGTTTTCCTTCCTGAGTTTCCGAGGACACCTCCTACCCTAATCTCTTCAGGGAAGGGCCAGTCATTTACTGTGTGTGTGTACAGCACCTCACACAACGGGGCCTGATCCTGACTGGTGCTAAAGTAACATACAGCCAGAGCCTTCCTATAAGTAGGGAATCTGATAACTGGCAGTCACTGGAGCTAGACTCCGTGCCATCCTGGGGGTAGAGCTGATGGTTCTTTGCATGGCACCTCCTCCAGGCAGGAATTGCAGGCTGAGGGTAAGAAGAGCCCATGTACAGGAGGGGCTCCACAGCTCTTAGCACTCCAGGGATACAGATACTTTGGATACGGTTCTCTGTATTTTTATGGCACCTTCCATCTGGGGAACCCAGAGCATCTGGTCATTCTCACGGCCCTCCTGTCAAGTAGGAAAAGAGAGTTATCCCCATTCTACAAGCGGGGAAACCAAGGCAGAGAGAGGTTAAGGGACTTGTCCAAGATCACACTGGCAGCATGTGGCAGAGCCGGGTCAAAAACCAATAGTACCCAAATGGGGTCATTTCAATTCTCTGAGTCGGAAAACTTGGACAGCCCTGAAATCACTGCACAAGCTGTGCCTCGTTCCCGTACCAAACATCCGAACCAAACCACTTTCCATTTCTGTTTCCGTGGCCCGGGCTGCTACAGGCTGGTTCAACTCCTTTTTCATCATGTCTCATGTGAGCCGGATTCTCAGTTACACCAAGGCCTCTTTATACCACTCTTGCAGCACGGAGGTGCCTGAAAGTGGATGGAGACAGCCCCTGATTCTATCCCCTCGCCAGCCAGTGTAGGTGTAAGAGCTCTAGGCCTGCCCTGCTCCCAGTTCGGGGGCAGATCATAGAATCATAGAATGTCAGGGTTGGAAGGGACCTCAGGAGGTATCTAGTCCAACCCCCTGCTCAAAGCAGGACCAATCCCCAACTAAATCATCCCAGCCAGGGCTTTGTCAAGCCTGACCTTAAAAACCTCTAAGGAAGGAGATTCCACCACCTCCCTAGGGAACCCATTCCAGTGCTTCACCACCCTCCTAATATCCAACCTAAACCTCCCCCACTGCAACTTGAGACCATCGCTCCTTGTTCTGTCATCTGCCACCACTCAGGGTATGTCTACACTACGAAATTAGATCGAATTAATAGAAGCCGGTTTTATAGAAATCGGTTGTATACAGCCGATTGTGTGTGTCCCCACATAAAATGCTCTAAGCGCATTAGTTCGGCGGACCGCGTCCACAGTACCGAGGCTAGCGTCGACTTC